GAAACGGTCATATGACTACCTAAATCAAGTGGAAAATGTTTAAAGTAGAGGCCATGATTGTTTATTTCAAAAGTACCCTTGTAATTCATATCAAGTTTTTCCAAAAAAAAATGTTCGATTTTCAAATCTACAAAACAAAGTTTGCTAGGGGCCATGATTGTTTATTCCAAAAAGTACTCTTGTAGTTCATATCAAGTTTTTCCAAAGATAGCACACCTCCTTTAAATAGAAAATAAAATTGACTAAATGGAGTGGTTGTTTGTGTTTTATTTGGGTGAGAATGACATTTTCATTTATGTTTCCTTGTGTAGATTAAATTTGTTTAAATGGAAGTTAAAGGTCCAAATCTTCATTTTTCACCAACCTAAATTTATGGTAAATTGATTCTAAAATATATTGGGTGTTTTAGTAAAACACAAATCATAAGATAAATTTTAATAAATTTGAGTAAATTATCCACATATATAGAGAGAGAGAGAGAGAGAGAGAGAGAGGCAGTATTGATATTGCGCTACCCTCATGAGATGAAATGACCTTCTCTCCTAGCCACTTGATAGGGTGCTATATTGGTAGAAGTTATGTCACGTTGAAAGATGAGTGCACTCTATTGGTATCCTGGTGTTGTGTGTCTGTTACGCTGTTGCATTTATGCATCGGAAATTGGAAAAAAAATTTTATAGGCACAAAGTGCGATACAGTAATTGTTTGTTATGTTTTGAGGAAATTTATGATACCATAAACACATTATATTGAAAATAGCTTAATCCAATCAAAGCACCATTGTGAATTTGATGAATACCACTCAATTGGCCAACTCTATTATGGTACCTGACCTATTGATTGGCCCTAAGGTTCGGTTTGGAAGAAGTACAAATGCAAATATATAGTGTAAAACTTTATATTTTGTATTGTTTTATATATATTTACATTATATATATTTGTATTTATACTCCTAAATTGAGCTTAAGTATTTTTCATATATTTTATTAAACATAAGGGGGTGTTCTTTTTTTGAATTTTGAGAGGGGGAAAAGTTGGTCAATGGGATTTTGGTTCCTATTGACCAAGAATACCATGTTATTTTTTCATATTAATGTGTAGACCAGTGAAAGTTTATTTTTCTACGTATCACTTACTCTTAGGTGGGTAAATAACTTTTCCACCTGGGGGGAAAGATCCCAACACTTAAGACTCCATTATTTTTTCAGTAAGTTACTTATCCGGGTAAATGCACTTACCCGGGTACTCGAGTAAGTGCATTTACCCATGTTCTTTTATTTCCCCTTTAAATAAAACAATGACCATTTTAGTCATAAAAATCCATTATTACAATGAACATTTTTATCCTATTCAAGTGTTGGCAACTATCTCCCATTGTGGAAAAGTTATTTACCCACCTAGGAGATGGGTAGGAAAATAAGCTTTCCATAATCCCCATATAAATCTGAAAAAAAAAAAAAACACATGAGATTCTTAGTCAATGGAAATCAAAATCCCATTAACCAATTTTCCCCTCTCAAAATCCAGAAAAAAACGCCCCCTAAATGAGACAAAAATGTCTCATTTAATAATGGATTGTTATGGTTAAAATGATCATTTTCTTTTTTTTACTGAAAAAAACAGAAATAAATACGCTTATTTAGATAAGTATTTTCCAATAAAAACTTACTTAACTTACCCGGATAAATAACTTAAGGAAAAGCGAATGAAGCGTAAATATAATAACCAAAACATTAAAAAGTGAAATTCATATAATCAATAAAAAAGTATAAATCAACCGACCAAACAAAATGGAAATATACACAAAGCAGACAACACCACGGCACCCTCTCAAACGTGTGGATGTAGTGTCGTTTTCTCAAAGGTATGACACAGAGTGGGAGTGACGGGAGCAAATGTAGCAGTACGTGACCACCAGCAGAGGGGCCAAAGTACTCTCAATGGTGGAATCGGGACAGGTGGATTTCCTCTTGATATTGATAAAAATGAAAAGGACTGATTTGGTTTGGGCACATCCTTTTTACCAATAAGGGTGGTTTACTTCACTCCCAAGTTCTAACACATAACAGTTGACACAAATCTGTATGCATTAAATGAAAAGGCCTCATACAAACCAATGAGGGGTAGTTCAGATGGTACTTGGATGAATTGTTTCAGTTTGGTGGGATTTAAAATCCCTATTATCATTTTTGTAAGAAAAATACTTAGAAAGTAACGGACCCTAGGAGAGTGTCAGACATTGATTGATACCAAAAAAATGAGTCAGGTCTGGTTTGGGATAGGATAGACCCATCCCAGCTGATTATTGATTCATTCTATATCTATATTACTAAGCATTAATTATATATTAGATTTAACTTTTATCTAGTATAGATAAAAGTATATACCTTATTAATGAAAGATAATTGTGTCCAATCCAATTATCTATAATTACCTGTAATAATAACAACTTAAAACTTCACTTTTAATGATATAACCTTGATAAAACATGCAATTGTTTATATGTCGGTAAAACAACTTTGTAAACATGTAACAAAGATTACACAATAAAGTAAGAAACTATGATATTTCTATATATCAGGTCCATTTGACAAGTCTTTTGGGAATATCTTTTAGTGGTTTTAACAGTTAAAAAACATATTGAGCTTTTGCATGAAAATCTGAACAATCCAAAGCTAATTTGGTAGATACATGTCTTTCTGTGTGTCTCTTTCCATGTTTTTCTGTGCAAGAATAAAATGCGAAAAACTTCATTTGGAGTTTCCTGAAACCAAAATGGGTTTTCTTGCGTCTTTTTGACACTCTGGCTTTTGGTGGCTAGATCTTCTATAAACCAAATGGGAATAAACCAAAAATCAGTATGTCCAGATTGTAAACAACCGAAGGACCGCACAGAAAAACACGCCAAACGGGCCCATCATTAAGCATACAATTGGTTTGAAATGATAAAAAACAGCCCAACCCAATTATTAATTGGGACATAAATCATAACATATCAGGCCGTTCACTTCATTTATATTGGGTCAACCACCATCCCCTAATACTTCTAAACTTAAATTTGGTGGGGCTTTCAATGCTGTTGGTAGTGAAATTGGGTTGATTATAAAAGACTCTTCTGGTGCTTTTTGTTTTGGCCGTGTGTTGAAGATTGCTCCTTGCTCTCTTGAAGAGGTGGAAATTAGTCAATTACAGATGCTTTGATGAGTCTCTTGTTTTTGGTAGTGATAATAAAGATTTGTTTTTGGTAGTTAGATATGAGATGACAAAATGAGGTTTTTAAAATATTATAACAATTATATGATATTACATATAAAAGGAATGTGATGGATGGGAGGTATCTATCTTATTGTTTAAAAACTCAGGGGTAAGGGATTTTGTGAATACTAGGAAAGTATTAATCAATTTCCTAAAACTTGGTATAGTTTAAGGGATTTCACTCACTAATAATAAGTTATGTAGGCGCAAGTGGCCTGGCTTAATAGCAAGCTTGCACGCGTTTGGTGGTGGCGTTCAGAGTGGACCCAATCAGGGTGCGTGCAGAGTAGATCTCAATGGGCATTTAGGGACCAATGGTGTAGAGTCACTTGGTGACCTCGAATGACCGTGCCTATTGTGTACAGATTGCATCCGGACCACCTGGGCTCACCTACATACAGGTGGCCTCAAGTATAAATAGGAGACACCCCCCTCAAGGTAAGGGATGGAACTTAAGAACTTGTACTCAATAATTCTCAGTCTCCTTTGTGGCCTCGTCTGAGTATGCATATCTCAGGCCTCGTCCACCTTGCACTCCCCTCGTACTAATTTGATCATTGGAGTTTCTGCCTCGAGTACCAACCCAGGGCTTCTGACGTTCTCCTTTCTTCACTCTTTGCAGGATAGGCCCACCAACCCTTGACCACCTCCGGCCTTAGACTATTCGACCACACCTTGGCTTAGGAGCGAATTGACAGTATTGCCCTGGGCCTATTTCGACCAGCAATAATAACTAAAATGTTGAAAAAAATGATAGATCGAATCCCCTCCCAACAAACTCTTCCCGCATTTATACTCACATTAGTAGGCAGTGCTTGTTTTTTGGGAAGTGGGGCTGGATAAGTTGGTGGATCCCATGAAATAAGAAATAAACTTGTGTTCATATCTAACGTATTAATGTTTTTTTGCGAAAAAGAATGATCTCTTATCATTTGGTTGAACAAATAATACCCTCTTAAGACTTGAATAAATCATTTACCTATCCATACTGAAAATTGCTAATACGTGATGGATTAGTAATACTAATATATTGGATAAAACCGGTCCTTGCACTTATCTTGAGAGTATGTTTTCCTCATATAATTATTTTTATACAAGTAAATGATTTATGGGGACACGAAATAGGCTTAAGAGGCGTGCATTTGCTCTATCCCAGTCGAGTTGGGATCATCTAGCAACACAAGGTGCCAACTAGGTCCCAACTAGCCATTGTAGATGTACATCGAGAACATCTCTTCCCAATGCGAGACTGCAATGATCTGTTGGGACAAGATTGGTAGGGTTTTATTGATAGTAGAGCAGATCCCTACCCTCCCCAATATACACTGCGATGCTGCGATGGTTTAATGTGGTGTGGGTGGGGACGAGGAAAGTGTTTCTATTTCATAGAAAAGATGGAATGTGTTTAAATCACGATCTATTCCTCACACCTGGCGCCTGATACGCACATGTTATCATACATTGAGAACGTTTTCCGTATTTATTTATTATTATTCATGAGAGATGTTGTAATGTAAGACGCCCATTTGTGAGAAGCAGATCGCATCACTCAAATCACGAGATAATATCAGATTGGTGCCCCACATACACATCTCAGCGTTCATGGGAGATGTTCTCAGTACACGGCTGGGAGGTGCTGTGGGGCGCAGATGCGAATCCTTTATTCGCTCTACAGGGTCACTTTCGAAGCCGGTGGACGGGTGGAAGGGGAGAAAAGCGCCAATAGAACTGTTAAATTCTTCATTTCCTGCTGTTCTGGGAGTCGGCGTCGGGACTCCATAGACGGCTCCACCGGGGTTCGGTATCGGTGCCAGCCGAGCCGAGGCCGAGGCCGGGCCCCACGTCTGATCCACCTAGGGTTCCACACTTTCTTTTCCTCTTCCCACCTTTTTTTCTCCACCGGCCACCGGGTTTTCCCGTGTCGTTCCTTCTGGACCTTCTCTTTCCATATCGGTCCGTTCATAGACTCCATACAGCAAAGTCTGTTGTCCCTCTCTCTCATTTTCTCACTCTCTCCGGTTGGATGGGTTCGAACTCGAAGCCATGGCTATATCCGGCTCCGACCTACCGTTCCGTCGAGACGAGCTGGGAAACCGACCGGGACGCACCTGGCCCACGTTGTGCACACACGCTAACTGCCGTCGCTGCCACCAAATCTCACGGACATCGTCTTATTCTCTTCGGTGGCACCACTGCCATCGAGGGTGGAGGCCCCTCCTCTGTTCCTGGAATCAGTTATTGCTTTTCCTGTTCTTACTGTCGTATTAACAACCCCTCCTCTCTCCCCGTCTTCTGAATTTACTTAAACTAAACAAGTCAAATTTACGTGTTGCAGGGCTGGCGGGTGTCACCAATTCTGTTCATTCTTATGATGTGCTTACCAGGAAATGGACCAGGTATGTTCTACTACTTGTTTAGTTCTACTTCTTGATTGCCTTTAAGCCTTGATTTTGATCGCAATTTGAATGATTTTCCTTCCAAGGTGGGTTTCAACTTTTAATTTTGCAGGATCCAACCTGTCGGGGAGCCACCGTCACCTCGGGCTGCACATGCTGCAGCTGCCGTTGGCTCTATGGTTGTTTTCCAGGTGAAATGAGGGAATTCAGCAAAACGAAAGAAACAAAAAAGTCTTCCATTTTTTTTTTAAGATCTAGTTTGGTTACGAACGTTTTGTTTTATTGGGTGACGTTGTGTTGTTAGGGTGGCATAGGTCCTGCTGGGCATTCCACCGATGATCTTTACGTGCTCGACTTGACTAATGAAAAATTTAAGTGGCACAGGTTAGCCGTGGGAATTCTTAGTGAATTTTGAGTTAGAACTGGATTTCAATACTATCATCTTACTTCTTTTCCCACTTTAATGTAGGGTTGTTGTTCAAGGCCCAGGCCCTGGGCCTCGCTATGGCCATGTAATGGACTTGGTTGCTCAAAGATATCTCGTAGTTGTTAGTGGCAATGATGGTGAGGACATTTGAGAATCTGACGCCTCTGTTTTTTTTTTTTTTTCGTTGGATGATTGCATTCTCTCTGTCTCTCTCTCTCTCTCTCTCTAATCAAGCAAGTTGGAAGTATGGTAAAGAAACTCGAGGGGGAAGTAAGCTGGTGATCCTATGAGGTGCAATGAATCTGTGCATTTTAGTACTATTGCCTATCTGAAAGTTAACAATTTTTGTTTACTACTTTTGTAAGAAACCTTCCTGGGACTTAAATCACTTAATCTGAATTCTCACTCTTTCGTTGCTCTTTATCAACAAGATAACAACATGAGACATGACTACTTACCTGTTATCATTTGTCATTTGAGCAATTACAGAATTTGTTCCTAGGAACCCGAAATGGATAGCTTTACTCATGCTAGTAAAGCTCAAGCAGGAGTATTGCTATTGTTGGAGACTTGGCTCAACTATCTGCATTGATTCAATGACTCTAGAATCCATTTCTGTAATTACACTTTATTTTTCACCGTGTGACCTGCCAAAGGGTGTATCTTCCTTTTTATCCCTTTTTGCTATCATGTAATGATGTAAGATGGGTTAGGGGCTCTACTAACTTAGGATTGGTGGTGGGCTTTGTGAGATGAATGCGGGGCTGTGCGTGATTAACAGCAAAGGGATAGACCACCTAGAAGAAGAAATGAGACAAGAGGGAAAAAGAGAATATTTTCTGGAAAAAACCAGAATTCACTAAACCAAAATTTATTTCTTACAATCAGCTCTCCTTGAACTCCAATTACAATGTCTTTATTTATAGACTCAATTTATTAACTCGGAAGCCCCTTTAAAAACTCCATTTTGGACCAGGAAACTGGCCAAAAACAATTTCTAATTGTTTTAAAACTAAGACAAATCCATGAGTAATCCATAAGGACACTTAAATAAGGACTCCAACTTCTAAACAACTCTAATAACACTTTCCTAATCCCACTGAAAACAACTTAATCTAAAGACATCAGAAACTACTAAAAATAGTAATTATGAGAAATATTATAAATAGTAAGTCTGGAAGTTACCATAAGTAGTAATTTCAAAATAACAGAGACTAAGTAGACCTGTGTTTAGTTTTTTCCAGTTCTCCCATAAATTTCCTTCAAGACAAGAATGAAGCCAAAAGTCTTTTTTTCAGACCACTTTTTCCTACTCTTCAGACCTGTTAGCTTCTTTTTGGGCTTCAAAAGAGGCTCAAACTGATCTAGTGCATGCTGCTACATCATGTAATGTCTATTGTTATTAATTCATTGAGGAGATTGTTAGTCATCTTGGCCTCCCTAGTTGATATGGTGTCTGGTTGGTGCCTAGGTGTTGACTAGTTGATTACAAAAAAAGATACGTCCTAAATATAATATATTGATGTAATCTGACATGTAAGCTAATATAGACTACAGATATGCAATAAAAGAATAACATATACATATAGTTTAAATCTTTGTTTAGAATGGGTAGGGATGTCAATGGGTTGGGTTCGGCATGGGTTTGCCTCAACCCTAACCCAACCCTCCAGTGCCCCAACACGAACCCGGCCCTACCTGGCTTAAAAATACATAACTTCCAAATCTGACCCGACCTATAGGGTCCAACCCGATACCAACCTAACCCGACCAATAGTATTTTTTTAACACGCTTTGAAGATCTAAAATCCATTAATAAAGTTTGGAAATTGTTTTATAGATTTTAAGATGTCACTGTTTTTCCATTAAAAAAAACAAGAAAACCAAAATCAACATGTACATAAATCTTAAAGCCTATAGAGTTAGAAAGTCAAAAATTTACAAGAATACTTAGTATATATGTAGGGTATCATGACTTGGTGGGGTGGGTCAGCCAAAACCCGAACCTGATTCGGGTCAAAGAGCCAAAACCCAAATCTGACTTGGGTCAAAGAACCAAAACCCTAACCTGACCCTAAAGATGACTATGCCTGACCCTAACCCAACCCTAAAGATAACTATGCCTGACCCTAACCCGACCCTATAGGGTTGGGTCAAGCCGAGTTTACCATTTAACCCAACCCATTGGCATCCCTAAGAACGGGTGGTTATAGACTTTTTTCTAAAGAGAGTGTAACCTTGACTATTTAATGTTCCTCTCTCTCTCTCTCTCTCCCGTAGAAATGTAATGCAGCTCAAGTCTTTCACCATCCACCAGGGATGAAAGAACTTGAATGCTTTTCAGAATACACACTGGAGTAAGAAGGGAAACCACAAGACAACCACACTCACTCAACTAAACTCTGGGCTTCACCATCTCCAAAAGCTGGAGAAGTGGAGAAAGAGACAGGAGAGCTCTAAAGCTACTAAAAGAAAGGTTTCAACTCAAATTCTGGATGCCTTTGTGTTACATGGAGAGGTGTATTTATAGTAGGATGCTAGGAGCCAAGGCCTAACAAGCAATCCTAATCATTAGCTCAAAGAAATCTTAACCATTGATTTGAAGTAACTCATGACCTTTCATTACCCCTAATAAATTCTATGAATCTTCCTCTAAATATGACCAGATACAAGTCCCTTCATATCTCCAAGAAAGGTTATGCTTGAATCTTTAATGACCTCTTAATAACACTCTTTACTCTCTCATTAATTGAGTTACATGATCCTTCAGTGACTTGCATTAAATGCTCCTACATCAAAATGTGCTTCTTTATCTATGGAAATTCCATACCAGCACACCACTGATTGGAAGAATCTTATAATAGCTCCTCCACCATCTTTTATCATATGATTTATTTCTATTTATCAATCACATACCATTACAAATGCTTAAAGAAATAGCATGAATGTACCAATCAAGCATACACGATGCTGTTTTAAATATTACAGATAAGCACAAATAAATACATTTTTAAAATAACTTTATTGTTTTTTGAGAAAAGGTAATGTATTGTGTTGATCAAAAAGAACCTATGTGCAATACTTATCAAAGAAAAAAGAACCTATGTGCAACTAGGGGTTTACATTGGGAATATACAAGATAAAGATATGCCAAGAATACACTACACTAAAGTACCGGACCTTGACTGTTTACAAAAGATTTTCAAATACACACACAAAATAAGAATTGTAGCTCTTTCCCATAAATAATTTGTGGTTTTCCAGGCATCCAGCTACAATGCATCTTTCATACTATTCTTTCAATTACTGTTCCTACTATTCATTCAATTACTGTCTCTTTATAACTTGGTTTGTTTTGAAACACCCTTTTGTTTCTTTCCTGCCAAATAGCCCAAAACACCACTTCAGGAACCATACCTCATGCAATTTTGTCTCTTGCTAAAAACCTCCAGCCTCCTGACTGCAAACAATTCAATCACCTTACTTATAAAAAAAAAAAATTCCAATCATCTTCATCTAGATATCGTAGGAGAAACCAAGTGAGTAGCAGGTTGTTTCCATCCATCACAGAGCACACAGTTGGCATTTTCTACACCCGTTGCTCTTTTTATCTGATTGTCCTAGTCATAATTATGTCCAAAGTGGCAGCCAGGCCAAAGAAAAGCACCTTAGGAGGGACAAATGCACACCAAATTCTGCTATCAGGGAATTTGAGAAAACTGACCAGATTTCTCCCATGTCCAAAGCCTTTTATCTGCTCTTTATACAAGTTACATCTACATGTGCATTATACAGTTTCTGAAGCAGCTCCATCAGTGGGAACAGTTATCAATCATTTAACTTTTTTATAGTAAAAGAGAAATTTTATTAATGACAAAAAGAAAAACTGGATACAACCACGACAGTTGCTAAGATAGCACCACCAATCAATTTAAAATTAGGGAAAATTTCCGATTAGTACCCTGTACTTTGGGCCTAGTGCCACTTTGATCCCCGAACTTTAAAATGCGACAATTCAGTACCCGAACTTTCAAAACGTGACAATCCAGTACTTGCCGTTAACTAACTATTAACTAGCTATTAAGTAGCATTTGAAAAAAACACAAATGCCCTTCGAGTGTCATCTAATTTTCTTTATCAACCATCCAAACATTGACAAAAAATTAACAGTCTCAAATCCTTGCCTCTTCTATTCAAGAAAGTTGGGGTCACCAGAATGCCCACTCAAACTTGACCCCAACTTGAATGGAAGAGGCAAGGATTTGGGACTGTTAATTTTTTGTCAATGTTTAGATGGTTTATAAAGAAAATTAAATGACACTTGAAGGGCATTTGTGTCTTTTTCAAATGCCACTTAACGACAGGTTAATATCTGATTAACGGTAGGTACTGGATTGTCACATTTTGAAAGTTTGGGTAGTGAATTGTCGCATTTTAAAGTTCGGGGACCAAAGTGGCACTAGGCCAAAAGTATAGGGTACTAATCGGGAATTTTCCCTTAAAATTACTTTATGTTTTTGATTGGGACTTGTTAGTTGATTAGTTGAACTAGTCAATGTTTAGTTGTACCAAGTGACCACATTGTTAGCATTGACTGTCTAGTTAGTGAAGTTGTAAGTATGGTTCTAAATTAATTAGTTTGTGCTTTGATAGCACTTGTCATGTCAGTATGAATATGCCAAAATATGAACATGCAAAGCATGCCAAAGTGCCCTGGTACTTTTCGATTGCTTTATAAACAAAACATACTGGTCAAAGTGAAGGAAAAAAAACTTAAAAAGGACAATACCAAGATTGGTAATGAATTATCACAAAAAAAGACCAGTCATACCTTGTAGAAACTAAACTGCTGGACAAATAAGAAATAATCTTTCACGGATAAGAGTAGCTGATTGAGGAGATTGAGCCAAATAAAGTCAATACTAGGAAAGAGAATTATTGTATCCATTGAAACCCATGAGTATCTCAATGGAGTTAACGCTACTTTTTTAGTCAAGGAAGACTTGATTGAGGTCTTCAAGGAATTCGAGGATAATTCAGTGATTAGACGTGGAGTTAACGCTACTTTTTTAGCCTTAATTCCCAAGAAGAATGAGGCCAACCATCCAAAGGACTTTCGACCTATTAGTTTGGTGACTAGTGTATACAAGATTGTGGCTAAGGTCATATCTTTGAGGATTAGAAAGGTTCTTCCTTGTCTTATCAGCCAAGCTCAAGGAGCTTTTGTTTAGGAGAGACAAATAGTAGATCAGATATAGCAAATGAATGTGTGGAGGAGATGAGGAGATTGGTCGTAAAGATGTTTGTAAACTAGATCTTGAAAAGGCTTATGACCTAGTGGATAGGGGATTCTTATTACTCGTGCTAAGGAAGTGTGGGTTTCGGGATAGATGGTGTAAATGGATAAATGGTTTCCTTTTCTCTTACCATTACTCCATCCTAGTCAATGGGGTATTTAACGGTTTCTTCCCAGCTAGTAGGGGTCTGAGATAAGGTGACCCCATGTTACCTTTCCTATTCACTTTAGTTGCTGATGCTTTTAGTAGACTTCTCTCAGAAGCGGATAGGGCTGGATCCTTAAGAGGGTGGAGAATAAGTAGAGATAGAGTTTCAATAACCCATCTTCAATTTGCAGACAACATAATAATCTTTTGTGAAGGTTGTGAACCGATGGAGGTAAGAAATCTGAAGGATTTGATAATTCACTTTGAGAGGGCCTCAAATTTGAAGATAAATTTTGAGAAAAGCTGTGTTGTGGGAATAAATTTGATTAGAGAGGAGATGGAGTTTATAGCAGCCTCGTTAGATTGCACATTGGTCTTAGTGGCCTCTATCCTACCTAGGACTTCCCTTAGGCGCAAATCCAAAGGAAAGTAAGTTCTGGAACCCAATGGTGGAAAAGTTCGAAAAAGGATTGACAACTTGGAAGAGAAACTATATTTCCCTGGGGGGTAGAGTTACTTTGATTAAAACAACTTTAGCCAACTTGCCTTTATACTTCCTATCAGTCTTTAGAATTCCTAAAAGGGAGGTAAAGAGGTTGGAAAAATTGATGAGGGACTTCTTATGGGAACCTGGGGAAGAGAAAAAAGATCACTTGATTAGGTGGGAGGTGGTGAGTAGAAGCAAATATGAAGGAGGCCTAGGCTTAGGGAATGTGGTGAATAAGAATGAAGCTCTTTTAGGTAAGTGGCTTTGGAGGTGGCCCTTGGAGAGGGAGAGGTTGTGGCACGAAGTAGTGAAGAGTATCCATGGCTGTTTTGAATCAGGTTGGGACGCGGGGGTAACTTGAAGGGCTTTGCTCACAACACCTTAGAGGGCAATTTATGGCATTCTCTCAAAGTTCCTCAGATTTGTAAGGTATGATGCTTGTTCTGGAAACTCCATTCTTTTTTGGGAAGATATTTAGGTGAGCACTCAACCCCTAAAAGACCGCTTTCCTTCTCTCTATTCCATCTCCCTCTTTAGAAAGAAACCAATTCCCCCCGGTTCGCCCTTTGGATTTAAACTGGAATTTTGGGTTTCAAAGAGGGTTAAGGGATGAAGAACTTCTTTGTGTTTCAAAGTTATTGTTGCTTCTAGACTCGGTGTGCCTGGACCCCCCTAACCCGGATAAAAGGGTTTGGTCTCTAACCCCGGTTGGCTCCTTCACTTGTGCTTCTTTCTTTAAAGCCCTTTGCTCCAACCCCTCCTCTCAGGTTTTCCCTGTTAAAGAGGTCTGGTCAAGGCCAATTTCTCCTAAAATAGCAGTGTTCTGTTGGGAAGCCTACTTGGGTAAGATCATTACGATGGAAAACTTGCAAAAGAAGAAACCTTATTTGTGTTTGTCCCCAAATTGGTGTTTATTGTGTGAAGTGAAGGGTGAGGACTGTAACCATTTACTGATATCATGCTCTTTTGCTGCCAATATTTGGAACTGGGTTGTTTCACTATTTGAGCTTGCCCTCCGAAGTAAAGCTGCTGTTCATTCCAGCTGCCTTTGGGAGATTGACAAAAAGAGGGAAGCTAATGTGGAAATGTATCAGAGCCGTTACCTTGTGGACTGTACGGGAGGAGAGAAATGCTAGAATATTTCAAGAAAAGGAAAGAAGTCTTTCTGAAATCAAGGAATGCATAATGACAAGGACATTCTCGTGGCTGAAATCTTCACACTTGTTGGCAGATTACTCCTTTGTGACTTAAGGAGACACTAGGCAGCAGTGGCTTCTACAATCTCCACAAAGAACAGATCACAAGCTGAATGGGAATCCCCACCAGATAGAGTGGTAAAACTGAATTTTGATGGTAGTTGCCAAGGTAACCCAGGCCCATCCGGAATAGGAGGGATTTCGAGAGACAGAGATAGCAACATGTTGTCTTTATTTTCAGGACCGGTGGGTGTTGGTGATTCTGTAAGGGCCGAGATACAGATGGCCAGTCAACTTGGAGTGAATAATTTGATAGTAGAAGGGGATTCCAAGGTAGTAGTGTGCTGGTTGACAAGTCCAGAGACAGCTTGTTGGGGCTACAGGGATCTGTTAAAGAAAGTTAAATGGCTGACAAGGAATATGTCAGTCAGGTTTCARTGGGTCAGCAGATCAGCAAATGCAATGGCTGATTCTTTGGCCAAGCAAGGGGTGTCAAGGGGAGATCTGTTTTTGGCCACTTTGTAACTGTGCTTCAGGCTTGTGTTTGTTTAGTGTTTATGACTCAGTCCTAGGGGGAGGTAACACCTCGTGCCTCTTCCTAGGTTGGATGTACTGCTATTTTTTGAATTAATAAAACTACCCTCATTTATCAAAAAAAAAAACCCAGGAGTATTTCCAAGTCCTTTTAGATAATAGAATAAAAGTAGGTGATTCATTCAGATGTTTGGTTGTGTCTAATCTCTAATGCCGACAAGATGCACCCAAGCCATACTTTGAAAAGAAAACAAAGAATTTACTTTACATGCCATTGTAGTACCCAGTAGCTGGTGCTAGGGGGTGCAATTGAGTCGAGCTTTAATTGAACAGTAAAGGCTTGTGTTTGATGCTAATCAAGTTTGAATCTTAGGGTAAGCTTGATTAGTTATTCGAAGTCAAATTTGATCAATAAAATGTTTGGCTTGAAAGTTCACGAGCTTGGCACAATTAATATATAACAAATATACATTATAGAATACAAAAATATTTTATAAAATATGAAAGCATATTAGTTTTTTGAGCTTTCAAGCTGAACTCAAATCAGAAAATGGAGTTCAAATCATTCGTGAACTCGAACTCAAATATAGAGTATTTTAGTTGAACCTAGCCAAGATGTGTTGAAGTCCGTGCTCTTTGTAACTCCATTTAGCTGTAGAAGGCTGCACAATAAATCAGGATACAGAGAAACAAAGATATGGACTGACCAAATTGTACTGGGATGTTTGACTATATTGGGGTGTAGAATAGTGGACTGACCCTTGAGATACTTAGGACACCTCTTAAGAGGAAATCCTAGAGTGCCTTCCTTTTAGGATGTGGTTGCCGAGAGATTCTCGAAGAAAATGGAAACATGGAAAAAGAACTACTTTTCTATTGGAGGTAAGATAACCATAATCAAATCCATCTAATCAATCTTCCAGTCTATCAGCTGTTCGTTTTTAGGGTCCCTAATAAAATCATTCAATGAAAGGATCAATCTTTTTGTCTATTATCATCCAAAATATGTTTTTTAAGTTCACTTCCTTTTATGTGTTAATCTCTCTAGGGGTTTATTTTTCTTTGTTTTTGCAGGCAAGAGAGTTTTGTCAGATGCTTGGGCTCTGGATACTGCACAGAAACCATACAGATGGCAGAGGCTCAATCCTGAAGGAGATAGACCTTCTGCTAGAATGTGAGTGTCTTTGGACAGTTTTTGTCCACAAAAAAAAAAAAAAAACAAAAAATGAAAGTGAAGAGTTTTTCTTCCCTAACTGCTTACATAAGTGCTTGAACCTGTTTCTGTGCTGATATTACTATTTATTTTCTGGGTAAACTCTTAGGCCTGCGTAAAGAGTTACCCTTTGAAATATAGATACATGCATAGGCAGCAACTGCTGGTTTAATCCAAAGCAACTGAACAAGTGGACATTGATGACCAAGAGCTAACAATGCTAGATGCATAAAAGGAAAATTCCTGATCTCTCCATGAACAGTGTTATCAACGTCATAAAGTGATGACTAGTGTTGAAATTTAAGGTTGTATAATTACTAGTCAATGAAAAAAAAGTTATGTTCTAAATTTAATATATTGTTGAAATTTCATAAATAAGTTAATAACTACTACAACTATGCAAGAAAAGAATGATATTGAAAATTTATTTTTATAGTGTTTATTTTGCAAACAAGTTAAACTTATCCTAGGATAGCGAATTACAACCTTTGTTTTCCAAAGAATGCAACCTTGAGGATAGACCAAAAGCCCCATGTCTAGATGGCTTTACAATGGCCTTTTATCAAGACTGTTGGGACATAATAGGGGAGGACTTGGTGGAGGTATTCTCGGAATTCTTTGAAAGAGGAAAAATTAATTCGGGTGCAAATGCAACTTTTATAGCTTTGATCCTAAGAAGGTGGTTGCACAACATCCTAATGATTTTGGACCCATCAGCTTGATCAGGAGTATGATAATCTCTAAATTTCTTGCTTTGAGGATAATAAATTACTCCCATCTTTAGTTTCGCCAAATCAAGGGGCTTTTGTAGTAGGGAGACAAATCATCGACCAAATCCTAATTGCCAATGAGTGTGTGGATTACAGGAAAAGAAGAGGAGAAAATGGCTTGATTTCTAAATTTGATTTAGAAAAGGCATACGACTTGGTAGATTGGAATTTCATGTTGGATGTTTTGAGGAACAAAGGTTTTGGAGAGAGGTGGTGTAAATGGATTTAAGGTTGTATAATTACTTGCCACTACTCCATACTGATTAACGGTGTAGCTAGAGATTTCTTTCATGCTAAGAGAGGCCTCAAACAAGGAGACCCTTTGTCCCCTTTCCTTTTCACTCTGATAATGGATGTATAGAGTGTGTTGATAACTAGGGCTGACTCAAGAAATTTAATCAAAGGTTGGAGAATTGGGAGGCATCAATTGGTAGTCACACACTTACAATTTGTAGATGATATCATTCTTTTTTGTGAAGGGGAGCTAGAGGAGATGGAGAATTTGAAACTTTTAGTGACATACTTCGAGAGGGCCTCTTATTTGAAAGTTAATTGGAATAAGAGCTATGTAGCGGGAATAAACAAGAAAGAAGAAGAGGTGCTACCTATGGCAACATATCTAGGTTGTGGGGTAAGTGACTGACCTATGGTCTCTTTGGGTTTGCCTCTAGGGGAAATCCTAGGTTAGAGAGTTTCTAGCACCCAATTTTGGAAGATTCACAAAGAAATTAGCAGGTTGGAAGAGAAATTACATATCACTAGGGTGTGGAATCACTTTAATCAGTGATTTAAAAGGTGTGCTTGAAGCACATTTTAGGGTATGTGCGCCTCGCCTAGGTCCTAGGTGCAACACTTTCAAAAGGCACATGCCTAGGAGCACTAAGCGTGTGCTTGATGCACCTTGCGCCTTAGCCCAGGCATGCACCTTTTTAAATTTTTACACTTTATTGTTCTTTTTTTTTTTTTGAACTAGCATGTGCCTAAAAACACAATATGAAAGGAAAAATTGTCACACTACAATTCAGGGATTAAGTTTAGGTACATGAAAAACACATGGTAGGGTTCAGGCATGTGAGGTTTTGATGTCTTCCTTCCCTGTAGTAGGAGCAAGAGAGCCATCAACAAGGGATAGTTTGTCTTGGCCAGAAAGGATTTGGTAAGAGGTAAATAAGTGTGAAACGTTGGTCATGTGGTTAGAGGCACCGGAGTCAATTATCCAGGGGATTTTATGATTACCTGAAATAGTAGCATGATTTGCAATGGCATGAATACCTGAGTGTGCATAAGTAGAGGAAGGAACAGTCTCTGAAGGAGTAGGTGCTGTAGCAGTAGACTCCAAATGACTGATTATTCAACCAGACTTCTCATACTCAACCTTAGCAGCTTCAAGTTGCTCTCCCACTGACTTCTCAACCTTAGCAGCTGCATTTTCACCTTTTCCACTCTCAATTCTTTTTCCACTATTTCCAACAAGTGTCTTTAGTATGTTTAGTCTTTTTGCAGTACTCACAAATAATATTTTTCTTCCCAATGTTGACCTTTAACTTCATCTCAGCATTAAGCATAGTGATCAAGTTGCGGATCTACAGATTGAACCTGTCATTTGCTCTACTCACTACTCACCATAGCATAAGCCTAAAACAAAGTCACCTCATCCTTTTCCAAAACATTCTTCCTCACAATATCATATTCTGGGTTGAGTCCGATGAAGAACTCAAACAACCGATTTCTCTCCACCAACATCCTATGTGTTTCAACATCCTTTGCGCTCCCCCAAACAACAGTTTCCATCAATTCAATCTCTTACCAGAGAGATTTCAGCATGGAGAAGTAGATGGCTAGGGGCTTCTCTCCTTATCTTAGGTTATTTACATCATTCTTCAATTTGTAGGCCCGAACAACATTTAACTTTTGGGAATAGGTCTCCATGACACTATCCCACACTTCCTTTTCAGTTTTCATCCACAGGTAGTGCTAACTAATATGTGGCTGCATGGAGTTTGCTAACCAGCCCACTATTGTGTAATTTTCCTATATCCACCTCTCATAGATAGGATAATTCTTCGCAGGTTTCTTCTTGCTCCTGGTGATGTAACCCCATTTCCTTCTATTACACATGTATTTTTATAAGCTAAGATGGCCAAATAATTAGTTCCATCCAACTTTACAATAGAGTCTCCATAGACCCTTCATGTGCAAACCCAAAATCTGTGGGGTATTTGGTTTCTCCTCTAGTTTGCTTCATTGAGTGAATGGATGCAAATGAAAATCAAATTAGGGCTTTACTAAACTAGAATTTCTAACCAAAGCAAGAAACTACTCTTCAACTCCCTAAAACTAGGGTTTCACAGGACCCAAGAGGATGGGAGAAGAAGAGAAAATCGGCCTTAAAGGAAATCAAAAAGCTTCTCTTTGATCCCCAAGCGCCAGCTTCAAACTGTCTCTAGAACCTGTAACAAAGTCTCTCCAATTATCCAGGGTTTTTGGTAAAAAATCTCCAAGAACTTGCCTTAGGCCTCAACTAGGGATGAAAATCTGCAAAAGCCTATCCAAAAAACCCTCCCAGCTGGGCTATATAAGCTGCTAGTTAATCAGCCGACCAGTTCTCCATACACACTGTATGGGCCAAAAAGGAGGAAGATGTCGAAGGTGGGAACCTGCTCTGATAAGTTGCAGAACACACCTGTAATAATTCAGGAAAAATAACATAAAACAGAAAAGAAAGGAAGAAAGAAAAGTTTCAGCAGAAGCTTTGGAAGAAGATGAGAGAATGAAGAGAAGAGAGAAGAGAAGAGGAAGTGTTTGATCCCTCTCTTCAGCCCTTTCTTTTATTCTTTTACTTGTAATCTGAGTATAATTCTATGAAAACCCTTAATAGGGCGTCCAGTACTAATGTAATAATAAAAAAACAGAAAACAGGCTCATAACTAAGGCCCACTACTTAAAACATAAACATGAACATGACTTAAAATAAAAATAAAGAGACTAAGGCCCATTTAGCCCAACCTCCCTACAATAACAATTCTTACCAGCATACCCATTGACATTTTTTATCCTGCTACTCTTTAGGTATGCAACAGCAAGTGCCCGTTCAGATGGTATGTTTTTGCTTTGTGGTGGAAGAGACTCATCAGGCATGGTATGATTCTTTCTCATTCCTTCCTTTCTCTTCTATATATGAAACAGTCAATTCTTGGTAGCGTATTATGTCCATGCACAATTCTTGGTAGCGTATTGTTGTTGTTTCAAGTTCCAAATTTATAAGATCTCAAGGTAGGATTTTATTTCTCTTGATTTTATGTAATTCCTATATTGAGTTTCCATGCTGTTTATCAACTGGTAATCATTAATATCTTCTGTGATCATGTGGGCAAGTCTTGGATGTGGTATTGACTTTTGATTTTGGTTTGTCCACCTCTATCCCTTTGCGAACAATCAACTCACTGTGCTTGGGAAAAGGATAACCAGTTGTCTTTAGGTGCCTTGGGCATTGATGTTGAGAGTATCTTGGGTTTTCTAGCCTTTTGAAGTCTAACAATGCTTTTAATCAATGCAGTTTCAATTCCATTCACTTTATTTAGATGTTTAGTTGGAAAGAAAGAAGTAGGAAAGCCAACAGATTGTGAGGCCCATGGTTTCATATTTTTCTTTCAGATTTCTTATAAAATTCAATATTTTTTAAGGGGCTATTGCTAGTTATGATGGTAAAATCATGGGATGACAAGCATGAAAGCGCAGGTTCGATAAGGTTCTCCATTGGGTAATTATCTTTGTTTTAGATTTTTTTGCAATGAACATATAATAATTACTTCTCAAAGAACATGAAATAACTTGAATGGAATCAAGAACAACATGGTTGTGGAGAGAGAATCTTCACTTTCTGTCAACCAAAGTCATGTACAAGTAAGAAAAGTTGTACTTGCATTTTCTTGGGTTTTTAGGCAACCAAATGCAGCCATGCGTTTAATGCCTAGAAATGTATATTAAAGTATAAAAAAAAAGAGAAAAGGATGCAAACAATTAAGAGAAAAAGGCTATTGAATAGTATTTATTTGGACAGACCAACTTCTGATCACACACCAATCTTGTGACAATTGGGTGATGTTCAGCATAAGCTGGGCCATTTTAGATTGGAAATGGTGCCTTTTGAAGTTCCTGGGTTTTTGTATTAGGTTGAGATTTTGAGAAGTGGTGGCTGGTTAGCAACTCCTATGGAATCTGTCCTGAGGACCCCTGTAGGGCCTTTTCAAATAAGTTGTAAGTATCTAAGAAAGAGATTAAGTGGTGGAATTCTGTGATTCAAAGCAAGAGTCATGGCCTCTTACAAATAGGAACACAATAAGAGAGGAATACTGTAGATTGGCCTGTATGGAAGAAGTTTCATGGAGGCAAAAGTCTCGAGTCCAGTGGCTAAGGGTGGGGGACAAGAACACTGGATTCTCTCGTAGATTGGCAAACATGTGAAGCTGTGAAGTGTGAAGTGCCATTTCAAAAATCAGGATCTTGAACCAGTGCTTCGAGGGATTTCTGAGGTGAGTGATGCATTAATCGATTACAAAAAGTTATTTTTCAAAACATGATATTGTGTTGCCAAAATTGGAAGTAGGGTTGTCAATGGATCGGGTTTGGGTTGGACCCCATCCAAATCAAAATCAATTTGAACAGATTGGACAGACCAATAAGACATATTGAATTGGACCAATCCAGACTAAATGGTCCAGTGTATTTATTGGATTGGGTTGAATCTGGTCCATTTGTAATGGATTTATATTGGACTGGGTATGGGTGTCAATGGACCAGGTTTGGGTTGGACCCAATCTAAATTAAAACCAATTTGAACAGTTTGGACGGTCCAGACATTGAATTGGGCCAGTCCAGGAGGGTCCAAAGTATTCATTGGATTGGATTGGGCCTGGTCCATCTGTATAGATTCCTATTGGACTAGATTGGATTGGACCAATATCCGGTCCATTGACAGCCCTAATTGGAAGGGATTGAATTTAACACCATCTGATGGAGAGAGACTCTAGAAAGAAGTTTTGATGAAGTAGAATTCCAACAAACACTTAAAGATCTCAACGGGGCGGAGAGAACCCCATTTTTGCTGATGTTGCGCATTCATTCATCCTAATAAAATAGATTTTTAAAAGACAGTTATAAAACCTTTCTTTTTTGTAGGGATTAAGAATTTATGACCATAATATGAACTTGTTTGGTCTTGCCTCGAGGGGTTTGGTGGTGGAGACCTGACCCAACTGCTAAACACAGAAAAAAGAGAAAAAATGCACATATTTTCAAAAGGCACACACTTGGGCTGAAGCGCAAGGCGCACCAGGTGCACACCTTTTGAAAATACTCTGCTTGGGACTTTGGCGAGGCACATACCCTAAAATGCACCTTACCTGTGCGCCTAGGTGCACCTTTTAAATCACTGGTCATAAAGAGGGTCAACTTATCTTCCTGAGGCAATTAAGCCTCTCTTCTTGAATTCATGCCATGCTGAAGGAGGCGAGCAACAAGGTATACTGGTTTTTGGAAAACCGGTAACTGAAATGGAACCGAAGCCAATCGGTTAACCAGTTGACCAGTTTGGTTAACCGTCGGTTCGGTTCGTCGGTTTTTTGGTTTTTTAATTTTTACAATATATATTATAAATATATATTTATGTATATATAAAATGCATATTTATTAATTTATAATATATAAAAAATAAAAAATATATAATATACATAAATATTTATAAAATATATAGAAATATATGTATACTGGTCGATTCGGTTAACCGCCAGTTTTCTATATTGGTTAACCAAAACCGAATCGGTACCTTCGGTTTTTTAAAACACCGAACCGACCGGTTTGGTTAACCGATTTTTCTGTTCAGTTTCTGTCAGTTTTTTTGGTCGGTTCGGTTTTTTTTTAGCTCACCCTAGGTAGAGGGCCTTGACCTCCACTTGATTTCTTCTTTCAAAATGCTGATGAAGCAGCTGAGAAGTGTCGTTTCTGGCCAACCTTGTACCCTCGTTAAGAGTTTCTCAAACTTGATATGTTAATCTTTTACAGATCCAGTTAGCTTCAGCTTTGATAGGATTGTCATAACCATCAAATCTGGCAGGTCCAAATCATTTACATAGGGAAGTCAGCCTAAGATACCTGAGGGTGTGGTCTGTGGAATCATTGGAACCACAGTATTGCCTCTCCTTCCAATGGAACAAGGCTATGGAGACCCTTTGGTGGTTAGGTATTTTGTGAGATTCAAAGAATTTCTCAGCTGTAAAAATCCAAGGTATGTGGTCTTCACCTGAATAATTTGGGAAGTTGAGCTTGGCTGTTCCCAGTGGTTGCTCCCATGCCACGTCTGTTTCCTTTTAGTCTCAGCTGGTTCCTTCTTGCCCACTTTTGTGGTTCCCTCCAGAGGAATTGCTCTCCAATTCTTCCATTACTGCCGCTAGAGATTGTTTGATGATTTGATCTCTTGCAAATTTCCAGTTACTTTATGTAGCCGAATCTCCATGCGCTCTACTTGTTCGTCGACAGTCTCAGACCTGGTACTCGGCATTCTGTTGTTATTCTTCAAAAACATCAGAGCTATGATACCAAAATGTTGGGTTACTGCCCAACATCAAGCTTCCCTTCAAAGGTGAAGCTACCTCCCGAGTCTAAAGATAGATGAGAGAGAGAGAAAAGGGAATGAATTCAGTAAGGACCTGTTCATTTGCTCTGATGTCTGACATCTGAAAGTGCAATGATTACATTAAGAGGTATATTGGTATTGGTGAACTTTTCTTTCCTCTGAACTCTGAATGCAGAGAATGTTGTTCTGAATTCTGAAAATTGTCAAATGTCCATTTTAATCCCATATATTAGAACTTTTGTTTGTGTTTTGGGGGTATTATTATTATTAGAAAACAAAAAGTTGTAAGGTTCCACACTTCCACTTTAAGAGATAAGAGATAAGAGGAAACAAATACCCATTTTCCTCTTAAAGTTATAAAATTCCTCTTAAGAGACAAGAGGTAAGAGGAAACGAACAGGCCCTAAGTCTCATATATTCCTTCTCAGATTACAGAGTTTCTTTTATATTGTTCATCGACTTGTAATAGTCCTGTGACAGTTTATTACAACTTACCATAACTGTTTGCCACTTGAATTCTTGATCTGTTACATTTAACTGAATCTTGATTCTTGACTACTTGTGCTTGGCCGTCCTTGTGGCTGAGTTGGCTTATTCCTCTTCCATCTAGAATATACCTTCAGCCTATTATCTTGGCTCTCTGGGTCCCTAATAACGATTGTGTGAATTCCGAGATAAGGTAGGGAGAGTCAGGAGTGGTATGACAGCTGGATTTGGAGAAAGCTTATGATCATGTCCAGTGGGATTTCATGGACCACCTCTAGAAAATGGGATTTGGCTCGAAGTTGAGAAAGTGGATAGTGAGATGCATATCCACCATAATGTTTGTTGTCATGATAAATGGTGCACTGGAGGCATATTTCATTGAGAGGTGGATTAGGTAGGGCAATCCGCTTTTGCTCTTCCTCTTTATCATTATAGCTGAACCCCTAATCAGATTGATCTCCAAAGAAGAAATGGGAGGCTACATTAAAGGTTTCATGATAAGTAGTGACATCCCATCAATAGCTTTATTGCAATTTGTTGACTTGACAATTTGGTCGTTTTAACACATTTCACCACTAGGACTATTTTTCTACACTGTTTATTGATTTGGAGTAGTATTTCTAAAACTGACCTGAAAATGGAACTGCTTTTCTGTCTTGGTGTCATGTCAGTTGTTTAATTGTCTAGGTCAAATGGATCAACCTATAATGCATAACTTATAAACATTAGGAAGAGAAAGGCCCATGGGCAGAGAGACAACTCCCTAGCCAGCAATATTGGAAAAGGAACCATTAGCATGCTTAACTTTATCTCCACCAGAAAGTAAACAGTATGAAGAGAAAAGGATAGATTTACCAGTTATGTGATTGGCTGCTTCTTAATCAAGGATCCAAGGAGACTTGGAGTGGAGGAAACATGGTGCGCATGGGCTTGGTTGCTTGAATTTGCAGCATATGATGTAGAATGTTTGGTAGTAGGCTGCCCTTGGGATGGGGTACTTTGGCTCAACTGTTGATAGCTTT